GGGGCGATAGAAGATTGTTTGGCCCGGATTTAGTGGAAGAAACCACGTCCAAGATAGTTAAGATCAAGAAGAACATCCAGACAGCTCAGAGTAGGCAAAAGAGCTATGCTGATACCCGGAGGAGAGACCTGACCTTTGAGAAAGGTGACCGGGTGTTTCTTAAAGTCACCCCCTTCAAGGGGATTAGTAGGTTCGGCAGAAGGGGAAAATTAAACCCCAGATACATTGGACCCTTTGAAATCTTAGACAAGATTGGTACCACTGCCTACAGACTTGCACTGCCCCCTGAGCTCTCCCGGGTTCACAATGTGTTTCATGTATCTATGCTGCGCAAGTACAATCCGGACCCTTCTCATGTCGTGGCTCATGAACCGCTCTCACTCCGAGAGGACTTGTCTTATGAAGAAGTACCGGTCAGTATCACGGACCGAGAAAGCAGAATACTCCGTAACCGGGAAATATCATTTGTAAAAGTCTTGTGGCAGAACCACACGCCTAGGGAGGCGACTTGGGAGCTGGAATCAGAATTTAGGGCCCAATATCCTCATCTGTTTGATCAAGAGTAATGAGGCAAATTTGGGGACCAAATTTCTTTATGGGGGGGAGAGTTGTAGCACCCGGAAAGGAGGAGTCCAACCGGGGCCTGCCACGTGGCAAGATCGCGTCACTCCGAAAGGAGCCACGTTGGCGATCCGCGTGGGTGCGATCCGACGGCCCAGATCAATCACGCGATCGGACGGCCCAGATTCAAACGCACGGACGGCCCAGATTCAATCAAAAACGAACGGCCCAGATTAAAACGAAATGAACGGCTGTGATCAAAAGGCAAGGAGTTATAAATAGAACCTCCACACCAGACCAAAAACCCTAGCCGCCAGCCACTCGCCGGAGAAGACGAACCAGAGGCCGACCGCCGCCACCCGCCGCCACTCGCCGCCGCACCGGGGAAATTTCCGACCGCCGATCGAGGTAAATTTCATACCCCCGACTCGTTTTTCCCCCACTGATTCCTCCTATGGCCAAATCGAAGCGGAAATCCCGGCCAAACGGCCGGAATACGCGGCCGAAGCCCAGCGGCGCCGCCGCGCCCCCTCTCGGTTTTTGCCTCCGACGAGGCCCTTCCCGGCCCCCGTTCGATGCAATTTTTATATCACCGTGATCACCATTCTTTTCTCTACAGGTTGACCGAAGCCAAATCACCAAAACACGAACTTCGCCGGAGAGTCGCCGTACCCGAGAGCGCCGCCGCCGGTAAGCTCCGCTTTTCCGTGATTTTTTGGCCCCCCGAGGGCCCTAGGGTTGTTTTCTGACAAGGACCAATGCGAGTGTGGCCGAATTCGGCCAAAAACGGCCGAAAACAGTCAACCCGAGGCGACTCGCCGCCGCCAGCGGCGGCGCCGTCGCCAGAGCACGGCGGAGCCGCCGTGCCGGAGTTGCGATTTGGGCCGAAAGAGGCCCTGGGCCTAATTTGGATTTTTTTTGGAACCCGTGCAGGTACTGTTAGCGTGTTTCAGTTCCCCGGAAAAAATTCAGGGAAAATTAGGGACAGCCTGCAGGCGCACTGTGAATCGTATTCGGATCCCGAAAACAAGTAAGGACCCCTCACCCTATTTCCTATCACGGTATTAAAGTTCAAAATGATAAAACGGTATTTCTTGAATTAACGAATGTGTGAAATTGCTTAAGGTTGCTAATGGAGCCCGAGTCTAGTGTGATTGATGATTTACTGTTATTTGGCCTGTTTACAGCTTTAAATGCATTATGGGGTTTGATGTGTTCATTTTACAGATTTGTGTGCACGTACTACGTCTTATTAATTATGGGTTGAATGACTGAAAAACTGATACTGTATGTTGTCTGTTTGGTATGAATTACGATTTGCTTGTTTAAATGTGAATTGATGATGCTGATTGAGGAAAAGGAAAATGAAAGATTGTGTAGACTGATAATTGTATTATGGGGGTCAGCCTGACTAGATATCCTGGGAGATGGTGGACGGACCGGGTCCGTAGGGAACCCTACCTGGATTGTGGTCTCACATGCCGGACGGGGTATGGAGATTTTATGGTTTTGGCGCCCATACCGGACGGGGTATGGGGACGGCCCGTTTCACCCTCATACCGGACGGGGTATTGAGGTTCATGGTTTTGGTGCCCATACCGGACGGGGTATGGGGATGGCCCTGGAAACCGATTATGAATGTTAAAGGTTAACGGGTAGCGGAACCCCTATGGACCCCCACGGATACTAGTAGGCTGGTAAATGAGAAAAAAAAAGATATGTTGTACAATGATTGAATTACAAGAGGCGTGATAAGTGTTATGTTTTACAGCGTAGATTATTCAATGATTATGATAATGTTATTGTTTTTCTCATATTGTTTTCATAAATTCCACCAAGGTAAGTGGATGGTAAAAGATTTATTATTGATGAAAGGTTTTGTTGTTAATAAACGAGTTTATTGTAAATTATGCTCCATTGGTCTTTTTGTGGTTTTCTACCCACCTTTATCTCCGTGACGGTGAGATATCGTGATGTTCTTACTGGGCTAGTGTAGCTCACTCCTTAATTAACCATTTCAGATCAGGAAGACATGGTTCCCGAGCCCGTTCCGCAGGAGGACGACGAAGGGGATGCCTAGAGACTCTGTAGTCATACGCATAGTTTATTTTCGAGTTTTCTTTCTTAGTTAGTTTAACCTTTTATATTTTAAGTACGTTTGTTTGGTTTTTCGTGTAAGGGATGTTAACTGAAATTTTGATCTCGCTTCCGCATTCGATATATTTAAATACTCATTTCATTTTAATATTTTCCGGGGCCGTTACATCACGCGTGCGTGATCGCTTCTGGGTCATCCGATTGTGAGGCACGCGGATCGTCAGTGTGGCCTCTCACGTGGTATCGAGTCAGCATGTCTTACCACGCGGCGTACTCCAATTCGTTGAGACTGCTGATTGGACAGTCCTGCGTAACTAATTTTTTTTATTTGTATTTTAATTCTCAGTTTCTAATTTTTCTTTCAAAAATACTATCCGAATCTAAATTTTCACTTATTATCTTTAAAATTATTTCCAATTTCATCTGTAATTTTTTTTTTCATAATTTTATATTAAATTTTTTGAAATTTTTTATACATTTTAGAATGTTAAAATTAATTTCGAGCCAAATTTTGTACCCAAATGTTACATAAGTTCTTTCTATTTTTTTTTATGTAAATTTTTATATCTTAAATTATATTAAAAATAAATTATTATTTATTTATAAATCTTAGTGAATGGAAAATAGATGGAAGGAAAGTAAGCGTGGGTGGGTCCCCTTCGTTCTCTCACGTTCTGCCTCTTTCTATTTTCCTTCACTCCTTCCCTCACCGCCTTCGGCTTCATCAGCCTGACACCCCGTTACGTACCAACATTCCCACTATTCTACTTCCATGAAATATATACATATATTTTTGTTCGACATAGTGTGTGTGTGTGTGTGTATATATATATATATAATTATAGCGGGTTTATTTTTCTTTAATTATTTTAATATAAGCTTTATTATGTATAATTAAATTATATTTGTAAAATTGTTCCTAATAACAAACTTTAAATAACTAGTAATTTATGTGGGAGAATAGTATTAGGGTGGGTAATGTAGCCATTTTTGAATTTTGAAATCTTTGTACAGAATGATGTAGGGACCACTTTTTCCTACCTTTCCATTTGACCAAACTACCCTTTCTTTCCCACTCTTTTTAAATTTTTTATTAATTTTTTAACACATCTTAAATAAATTAATATTCAAAATTGAAATTTCTATAGTTACATATGACTTAAATAATTACGTTACAAAACCATTGTTAATTATATTTTTAAATTATTATAATTATTTCAATTAAAAAATTTAATTATTATACAAAATTTATTTTTTTAATATTATAATAAATTTATTTTAATTTAATTATAACAGTTGTACCACGTAATTAATACTAACTCGTTTTAATTTCTTAAATTTGAGACTACGATGTATTGTAAACTCCGCGATTAAATCGAAGTGTTTAATAATCTTTTAATTTAATTACATATAAATACAAGATTTTCTCTTGCTTGCTAAGATAAACCAAGCAATTTGGTTGTATGAGACAATTTCTTGTAGATTGAGCACATGGAGCCCCTTAAATTATTTTCGGTACTTTGACTTTCTTTCTTTTATAATCCACATTACAAGTTTCATTAAAATTAAAACTATATTTTTTTATACTTGGTGATATAATTGAATTAATTTGTTTTAATTCTTAAAATTTAACAAATTAACTCTTAAAAATTAAGTACTTATTATAATTTAGTATTTAAATATAAAAAATATATAAAAACCTGCAGATTGCAGGACATGTTGATATCTCAAGCTCTTATTGTATATCACCTGAGAATTTAAGAGCAAAATTTGTATTTTTTTTTTATATAAAATATATACGTATATATATATATATATAAAGAAAATACCTCTCACCCACCACCCTTGGGTCCATTACCCAAGTTTATAATCATACCATATTTTCTACATTACTGGGTCCCCCCTTTTTTTTTTTAATTTTTAAAATAGTCTTACAGTTTATTAAATTATTAGATATAGAGAGGTTTACTTTATCAGCAGACTAAATTATACCAACAATAAAGCTAAGTTATCTGTTTTAAAGCAAATAATTAATCTCCTAAAAAAAGCAAGTAATTAAAAATTATAAGAAATAACTAAAAAAAAAAAAGATAATAAAGAGAAGGAAAAGCTGATGGGCCCACGGACGCGGACTTTTGTCATTCCAAGAAAAGTCAGGGGGTAGTATTGGTAATAAACACTGGGACTGGACTGTACCCTGTTTCATCGCTGCCTGTCATTTTTATTAAATTCCATATATTATTTTC